GGTGGCGGTGGATGGTGTGGAGGGCTCGCCGCGAGGAGGTGAGCGCGGCCGCCGCCATGGGGATCGAGATCGGGTTCGCACCTCGCGGCAGTGGTGGGGGAGGGGACGAAGGAGTCGATGGAAGGAAAGGGAGGATGGCTGGTCTGGTTAGACTCGACTGCCTCCACCAGGTTGGACTCACTAGAACAGATTTTTTTTTTTGAGATAATTACAACTACGGTACCTGTACTATCCGGCGCGTAACAAAACAGTCCTGGCACTCGTCCATTGCTCCGATACGGTCCTCAAATACGCAGAAACACTCCAAAACGGTCCTCTGTGCCTATCTCATACGAACCTGGCTACTCCTCCCGTACGCGCGAGGCCCAGACCAGTGCCACATCAGCGCGCGAGGCCCAGACCAGTGCCACATCAGCGCGCGAGGCCCAGACCAGTGCCACATCAGCGCGCGGGCTGGTCGAGCCGAACCGGTTAAAGCGGACGGGCGGCGCACTGGTAGACCAAAATTCCTCATTACCTCCCCAACCCTAAATCACAAAAATCCTCTCCTCTCCTCTCGACGGGCGGCGATAGCATGACGGGGAGCCCTGTTTCCGGCCCCGTCAACCGCGGCAAGGTTGGGTGTCGCACGCACGACGCCGGCGGTGCTATCGGTGGCTGGACGTGTGGTGCCGGGCGTGTGCTCCTCGCTCGCACGTACGCCGGCGATGGACGGGCTGTAGACTCGCGCACCCACGTGCTTCTGGCGACGGTAGTTGGAGACCGGCGGCGCTGCTCGACGTCCTCACAAAGACATGTCGCGTCAAGTTGACGGAGGTGGGCATCGAGGAGGCCTGCCCGCCATAATGTTGCTGATCTTCTCGCTGACGGCTTGGCTCGGCAGCCTGGACGACACTGGGCCTGGCGAGGCTGATGGCTCAATCTAAATTTCTAGTGAATTAGGATGCCACTATGTCAAGTAGAATATGCAATTTGCCAAACTGGCATGCTATATAATGAAATTTGTATGCTACCTTTTGCTGGGAAGACCTGCGCCAAAGCATTGATACACAAGTACTGTCGTTTTGCTGTTGATTTCCTTCTTGCTTCTCAACAAGCTAATACAGATATATGTTTGATCAGGACCTATGATACCATGCCTTATTCCGTATTGCTTTACTGTATAAAAATTGCTGGGAATTGTAGCAAGTTTGGCGGCTTATTAATTTGTTGGGAAGTCCAGTAGTTGAGTACAAGGCATACTGAACTTCATTTAAATCATACATGTTTCTATACAAGGAGTAAAAATCATATGCCAAAAAAATCTATTTTTTTACACACAATAGTTGAACAGAACAGGGGCTAACATGTTTCATACATTTCACAAAAGCATTCGTTTTAACAAGGTTTTCCTGATCATTACATGATCTTGAAAGTAACATGATTAGTCTGACCAACATTTAACAGGTTGGTGAAAGCAAATAAAGGAGTTCTGCAACTTAACAAAAGAAAACACACAACACTCATGTGTCAAATGCTCATATCCTCTCCGCCCTAAATATATCAAACATGCTACTTTTTCTTGGTTTCTTAAAATCTGTCCTGGCCTGACTGAAGCAAGGTCTCTTTGGCACATGTTGCTGCTCCAAAGTGCTCTGCCTTGCTTAGCATTCATCCTGCCTTTGCTTCTCACTTGCCAACCTGAGATTTTCTTCCATGACTTGTTTCTTTCCATCCTCGGCTTGGGCTTGTGCTCTGTTCCATTCTTCTGCTTGTTTCTTTCTCTCTTCCTAATCTTGTGCCCTGGATGTATCTTGCTGCAGATTTTGCTTCTCCCATGCCTGCTGCCTTGAATTCTCCCCTGAGCAAGATAATCTTTACAACCTCTAATTCTTTACTGCTCATCCTCTTGCATCATAATAAATTGCATTTCTTCTGCTCTCAGTGAATCTTCATCTTTCTTTCTCTTTTCATCTGCAATTCTTTTCTTTTCTACAGCCTTCGCCCTTTTTGCTTCTTCTGCTTGCATCTTTTTAGCTTGTAGTGCATTCCTTTTGGCCTCTGCAAGTGCCTTCTTCTCCTGCTGCTCAACCAACCTCTTTCGTTTCTTTTCTTCAATTTCTTTCTTTTTTCTTCAGCTGCCAACTGTTTTTCTCTCAGCACAACTTTCTTTTTCTCCTCAATCTCTAACTTTTTTGCTACAGTCTTTTGTTTCCTTTTCTCCGCAGCTTGCGAAATCTTTTGCCCTTCCTCTCTGATCTTGTTCAAAGCTGCATCAAACTTTGCCTGGTCTGCAATCTCTTTTTTTTCAGCTGCAAGTCTAAGTTTAGCCAGTGCAAGCACCTCTCTTTTTCTATGAACATTTTCCTGTGATGTTGCAGTTGTTGGCTGAACAGGGGGTTGGCTTGGGACATTTTGTTCAATAAATGCTGATGGAGGTAAAGGGCGTGAATTAGGTGGCTCTATGATCTGGCTTGCAACATTTGTCTATAATAATTTAGGAAAATTAATTAGCTTGGAGTCATGAATTAGATGGTAGTAATAAAATTATGAAAACAATTAGATACCTCTTCCATTAATGTTGTAATGACCTCAGCCTCATAAATAGGTGGTTGTTGATGTAATAACCCCTCAGTTTGCATGTTCTGCTCCTGATTACAAAAACCATATAAATTAGTAAAGTTCTGGTTATGTAAAAAAAGCAATTTAGCATTAACGAGGTTGTACAATTATATTACCTGTCTCATGGCTTCATATTCTTCACCGGAGGAGGAAACTTCAGGTTCTGCTCTAACTTTCTTTTTTCTTATCCTCCTCTTGGGTTTTAGGCCTAATTTGAAATCTTTGCACCCACCTAGGTTATGCCCTGCAGCTCCACAATAGCTACAATGGATAATAGATCCACCTCTGCCAACTTTCCTTCCTGCCCTACCCTCTGTCTCTTCTGGTTGTTGTCGTCTATTCTTCGCCTTTCTTCCTTTTTTTTCTTAATTTTGGGAGGAAGCACTTGTCTGCCATACATTTTTTCCCACTCACTCACATCTTTACATGGCAAGATTATTTTCTCGTAAGCCTTGCGGTAAGTCTCAATGGAGTAACATGGGTGGACCAATGTTTCAGGTGGAATATTGTCATATCTTGCAGCTGCAACCGCATGACAACACGGAATGCCAGTTAAATCCCACCTTCTGCAAGTGCATTTATACAACGTTATGTCCACACTGAACTGCCTGTTTTTGTCTTGCACTTCAAAAATGCCCAGTCCAGCAGGATCAGCATGACATGTGGCTGCTGCATCACTATGTCTTTGCAACCTTTTTCTCACTTTAGGACATATGGGACCATGCCATTTCAGTGCCTCTAGTTTCTTACCATAATGTCTTCCCATTATTTGTCCTTTAATCCTTTGTATCATGGTTAATATGGGGAGTTCTCTTGCATCTAAAATATACCTATTGAACACTTCGCAATTGTTGTTCAATAGAACATCACACTTCGGAAAATCTTTTTGAAATGCCCTTACCCATGTTTCTGGGTCTAACTCCTCTAACCAATCATGAGCTTCCTTACTAAGAACTAGCATTCTGTCCATGTTCTCTCTAAACTGACCATGAGTAGTACTTCGAGCACATCTCCACAATTGATTCTTTAGCACTTCTCCTTTAAAGTTCTTTGTGAAATTCTGCCAGATATGTCTCACACAATACCTATGCTCTGAATCTTTAAATAGTTCTCTCACTGCCTTAATTAGACCCTGGATGTGAACAAATAAATTTAGTGCTAAATAATTACAAATTACAAATCATGTACTATAATATGAAGAAATGTAACCAAACTATCGAAGCATATATTACAACTGCAAGTGACTTACTTTTTGCTTGTCAGACATGACTGTCCAAAGTGAGGTGTCCATAATGCCAAGATCTTCTTTAAGAATAGTCAAGAACCATCTCCAACCTTCTGTGTTTTCAACTTGCACAACAGCAAAGGCCACGGGATAAATGCAATCATTAGGATCCATTCCTATTGCAGTTAACAAAACTCCACCAAACTGAGTTTTCAAATGACAACCATCTAAGAAAATTACAGGCCTACAAGCTGCAAGGAATCCCCTCTTGCATGCATCAAAAGAGAAGTAGCACTTCTGGAATTGGCCATCATCGGCAACTTGCAGCAAAAAAGTACTACCAGGATTTGACCTCCTTAACTCAGCTGCATAATCCCACAACATGTTGTACTGAGCAATATCATCACCATAAATAATGTCAAATGCTATTTTCCTTGCTCTCCAAAGCTTCTGCCTATGAACCTTCATGTTCCACTCTTCCCGCACCATTGCTCCAAAATCCTTCAAAGAAATCTTATCATCTGCTCTGACCTTGTCAATATACTTTGCAGCAATGTATCTCGCAGTGAACGCTTTAACACTCCACTTCTTTGTGCATGTGTGCTCATCTTTAAATGTTTTAACCTGAATTCCCTTGGTTCTATTGTCAAACGAAGCATATAAATACCAAGGGCAACCACCATTGCACACAGCTCCAATCCTTGTCTTGTCATTCTTGGGAAATGTTATTTGCAGCCTCTCCTTGCAACTATACTCCCTAATGGCCCGTCTGATCAGTGCACTAGATGGGAAAACCTGCCCCGCATAGAACTTGGGCTCCTTCAAATCAACTCCAGTAAAATGTTTGAAATTGAATTTAATGTCATCATCATCATCCGATTCAGGCAGATCAAGACTATCATCCTCGGAGTTTAGATCTTCTGCTAGCTCCTTCCCTGTCCTTGTCCCTTTCTTCTCATCGCCGACAACTTTTCCATCCTCATTGATCAAATCATCGTCGCCATCATTGTGGTCATAGTCACTGTCAATTATTTCTGGAATATAATCCGAGTCTTCGCTATCATCTTCACTACATAACTCCTCCTCTACCTCCGATGTCCCTCTTCTGCCCCTCCTGCTTGTGCCTTCTACATTTTCCTCACATGCAAATGACATGGAAGCACTGTTGTCCCCAACAAGTACAATGCTTTGCCCCTCTAAAGCACTGCCATTTATCTTGGTCTTCATAGGCC